ATTTATCATGATCACAGGGATACCGTTTCTGATTTGTATTAGGGATCTATTATAATATATTATTATAATTATAACAATTTTCCAATTTGTATTAGGAATATATCGGAAGTGAGCCATTTGCATCGTTATATATAAAAACGATGTATTAGCATTACCCAGTTATATATGACGACTACTTTTAGGTTTTATAGGCACTATATCATGTCGATCGCTGCTTGTCTTTTAGCAATGAAAAACATGACTTACACCAATGTCTCCGATATAACTCCATCAAATCAACTACGCCGTATTCGTGTGAAAATACTGCGTATTTTCGAGCACATCGGTGAACCTGATAACACTTTAGATTTGGTGTTTGGTTGATAAAAAGGTATTCCGGTGACTCTATATTTTCCGTGCATATCACTTCTCTGATATACATATTTTTGTTTTTATAGGGTGATAAAATACATGGATCAATAACAAAAGGGTTTATAGGCAGTTTTACATCAAAAGTGAAGCAAGGAGATTCAATTATTCTGTACCGTTTTGGTGTAGTCCCTGTCATCGGAGACTTGAGGCCGACGTTGCACAATTACAAAATAATATGGAATTCTCAAACTTATTTTTCAAAGATCCCTTTCTATGATAACAACAACTACCTAAGTATTGTTGAATTTGGTAACATACACAACAATCTCCGAGACCCATTGTTTTTCGTTGGTATGACTTTAGATAAATTAATAAATAAAAACAAAAAATATATGCTATTTTATATCTATAAAATTTCTCAATGACTAACTAATCTTTTTATTAGATATAATTGGACACGTCGCAGTGATTGGAACATTTAGTCACAAATCCTCCAAGAGCCAAAGAAAGTGAGGTAATGTTTACGTGGAACTCCGTAACGAATCGTAAGTTTTTAAAATATGTTTCTCAATTGCAATCACTATAATTATCAATTTTTACTACATTATATGATTATTATATGCCCAACAGAGATGCTAGATTGCAAGTGTTATTACGGAACGACTATGCGCTGGACCTGATGACTGCTTTATCACGGAAAGAACACAAAATTAACATTTGTGTTATACGTTTCGTGCAACTGTTCAAATTTGCACATGGTTGGGCAGCGATAACTGCATAGGATTGTTACAAAATTTTATTAAACCCTAACCTACCCGAAGTCGAGAGAATGCGGACCACAATCACAGAATCAGACGATGGTGTTATATTAAGTTTTTGAATAGTTTTTTTTCGTATGTTTGGTTTTCTTTTTTATTTATGTTTTCATCATTTAACTCAATAAACGATGGTACTATATCAAAACTCTTCTCATATTATTCTTTTCGTATACCTTATTTTCTTTAATTTCTAAAATATATGTTTATTATATATATGCATATTTGTTTTCCTAGTAAAATATTATAATACTTTTAAATCAAAAACGGTATTAATGGACTATGAACACAATTTTGCATTGAAAACAAAAAGTGATACTCTTTGTAAATCAAAAACAATACGCTAAAATGAGATGCTTTGCGAAACAGGTGAAGTTTATAGATATTGAATAATTTATTTATTACAATAAAAATAAAAAATAGCTATGTTGTTCAAGTACACAACCTATAAAAAACAAAATAAAAATAATATCTCCTACGGATACTGATCTTCATATCCATCATCCAAAGGGGTAAAATCAACTGAAGTTTCAAGCCTGAAACAATATGACAATATTATAAAATCATAAAATAGATGTCAATATAATACATATATAGGATATAACATCAAAGATGGAATTTACATACCTCATCTTCGCTATTGCCACTTCTGGAGTAAGAGGATCTTCGAGAATATCAGATATGAATCTTTCCGATTCAACTATCCACTCCTCTAATTACATATACATATTCAGTATGCATGTGGAAACAATAAATTTGTTAAACTTCTGATTAATTGCCGTATTGAATAGATATTAATAGTTAATATTTACGTACCTCTCCACCTATTGAAAGAGAAAAATCGCAATACAATAATATGCCTTGAAGACCTATCACGATTCGTCCAAAGTTCTTCAAATTTTATTGCCAAGTTATCCCAAGCAATATATTTCAAAGAATTTCCACTGTATATATTTACACCAACATAGAAGATAATTAACATATTTTAATATATCAAGAAACCCAAGTCTGACACCAGATATTCTGAGGATAAGTTGTACTTACCCGAGATCTTCGAGTACAAAACGAATAAGTGGACGTTCTGTGAGTGTATCCGATGTATCGGACATATGAACTCCTCTTTGAAGTTTCTGAACAAAAGTGACAATCCCGAGAAGATCAACTGCAAAATTAAACAACTAAGTTAGAAAAAATTCATTTCTCAGTTAATGAGATAAAACAAGATAATAACATGCATATAAGAAACTTACCAAGATATCGGTCTGTTTGAATCGACGCAAGCAAACTATCTATGAATGGACAGAAAGAGTATATTTCTCTGGAAGACTTCGTATCGGTTTTCTCAGTGATTGTATCCTCGTTGATACGTATATGACAGTTGTTTGATGATATACTTCGATGTGGTACTCTGTCGGTAACTGCAAAATTACCAAGAAAATACCACTCTCCTTCGAGCAATACATACTCGAATTTGTCAAGTATTTCAAATGGCATGGTACACAGGATGCGATTATCCTACACATTTTTAGTAAAAAAGAATCAATAAACGATTACATTCCCAAAACATGAACAGGGATAATCTTTTAAAATCTTATAAACTTACAAATTCATCAGCGAGAACTAACATCCGATTAGGGCAACCAATGAGAGTAAAATCATAATAATTTCTAACTACTTGGACACAAATACGTTGCCCGCTGTTTGTCTTCTGAAGTTCAGAAACTCTATTACATGGAGACATTCGTTGTTTTTATTTAGTTTTCAGATGAAAGATGATAAAGATGAATGTTTCTTTTTATAAGACGGATACAATAAACGGTTATGTTTTAAAACGCGGGTTTAAAATACTTTAGAAACGACGGTTATGCTTTTAAATGCGGGTTTTATATACTTAAGCAACGATTCGTCAAAACTAACAAAATTAAATGACAATTTCTAACCAAAATTAACTATTTTTTATTAATAAAAAAATACGATATATATATATAAGATCCATTTTCACATAAAAGTTTATTTTATTATTTTATGATAAGGTAAATTTCCCTTTGGGATTACAACGGATCAAAGGATGTTATATTCGTTCGAAAATTTCCAAAAATAAATTTATATTGAACACTTAAGGAATAATGTCAAATTTTATTATTAAAATTCTGCAATATATATATATATATATATATAAGCTAGGGTTGATCCGTGCGACGAAAGAAAACAAAAACATCAATTCATAAACATTATAGATATAGCATAATTCCAACCCGAAATCCATGTTTTACTTTTTCTTATGACGGTAAACTATAGGAGACTTTTTGATAAAAAAATACAATATTAAAATAAAACCCTAGTAATTTTATTAATTATAACGGAAACATTTTAATAATCGTAATATGCCATATAAAAATATAAAATTAAATAAAAAATAAAAATAAATAACTTAAAATCCTAATGCTTAACTTATGAAATTTACAAATTGGCTAGTCCCATCGCATGACATGCATCCTTGAAGGTAGGATACACAATACCATCAACAGTCCTAATATCCTCATAAGAACATGGGCCCTTTCTCACAGCCAACAAAATCCTGAGATAATAAGCCTCGCCAGATCCATCCGAACAATCTGCTATAACACTAACTCCAGGGTCACCAATGACACGTCGTCTCCTTAACTTTTGCTTACGATCCCAAAAAAATTGACTTAGAATTTCTGAATACGTAAGCATCCTAGCTTCCGGGTATTCTTTGTTGCAGTTCATCCAAGACGTGAATTTAGATATTCCATTAGAACCAACATTTCCGCCTTCATCAGTCATCACAATCTCAGATTCAGGAAGATGGAAAGGCAACACGTTTAGACGAACACTTCCACATGTATTTGCACCTACGAAACATAATTAGATCTACGTTACCAACCAATATAAATAAGAAAGCATAACTTAATAAACACAAAACGATATCAAGTTGGATGTATAGTATATATCGCACCTGATGAGTTCATTATAGCGGTATAAAGAAAAAGTTCGCAGCAAAGAATGGATTAAACCACGATATGACACTACATCTATATATAACCGAGTATTCTAGGGTTTTATTATAATTTTGGCATTTTTTTCTATTGGAAATTTGACGTTTTTGTTTTATTTCATAAATATACACACACGTAAATACAACAGAATAAATTTTCTCTAGAATCTTCAAGAATCATTAAAACTGAATATATAATTCATTTGCTACATATACTGGATACTTATTCGTACAAATATTATGATCGTAATATATATATCACGATATTTATTTAACTATATCGTGATATTTGTACATTTTATTAATTTTGATACTTATAACAAAAAAAAAAACGGACAGAGTTTAAATTTATATGAATCGGGTCACAATAAAATCAATTTTCAGAGTCACGACAGTTTCCAGGACGTTACGTAGATGTGTTCAAGGATAAACCTAAATCCCAAAACAACACTTTAAAAGGTTTATTAATTATAACCCCACTATCATATATAAGAGAATAATAAACGAACTATCGACATAATATCAAACTTGATAACCATAACTAAAACAAATGCGATAAAAAATGATCTACAGACAGGGTGTGAATATGCGATACATGCGACGATTGTAAACATAAAATTGAATATAAATAAATCATTGTTAGAAAAGAAAGAACAACTATTTATAACAAAATATTAAACTTTTAAATTAAAAAAAAATTAAGTAAGCATAAAATCTAAATCAATAATATTCTCAATAGAAAAAGGTTCTACCAAAACTCGAAACCTAAAAATATATAAGATAATATAATAGCGAACTCATTATCACTAAACATCCTATGACATAGAATTCTTCTTCCTTCTAGATCCAGATGTTTTGACAGGAGTAGGAATGACGTCAGGATCCTCACGATCTCTTTTAGAACTCACAGGAGCTGTCTTCTCGATAGAAACATTTGTATTTAGTTTAACAATGTCATCAGGAGCATCACAGTCACTTTTAGAAGATGCAGGTACAATCTTTTCGATAGAAACTTCTGCATTTACATCAACACTGACGTGAGGATCATCACAATCATTTTAGAACAGGCAGGCAGAGTTTTCTCAATATGTGCTCATCTATCTTCATCGACGAAGGTTTCCAAACGTGGAGGCTTAAAAAAAAAAAATAACATAGCAAATAAATAATCCGTTATGCATAGTTACATATCCAAATATCCAGACAAAATAAGAATCGAAAGCATACCTCAGAATAGACCTGACTACAGAACGTCTGAATCATATAGTCATCAGATGTAAACCGGTCAACCGAAAATGAAGTCTTAACCTTTTTGACATTATCCTCCGTTACAACAACCTTAAAAATGAACTCTTTTCCTTCTAGATCACGCAGTGATTGAGGCAGTCTAGACGAATTATCCTACAAAATATATTGGAAATATTTTAATTGAGGTATATAATCATAACGCTTATCAAATAAAACTATAGGTGTACCCTAACAGACTCTTCGAAAACTTCCTCGGCAGTCTTCTTAAACAATTTTTGAGCAATTTTGTCGAACACGACAAAGACTGTCGTCCCTCCAAAACCATCGTCCACGTTCAACAACAGAAAGAAACTATAAAAGAATAATTAGACAATTAGTTTTATAAATATAAAAAAATATACGACATAATGATTATAAAGGTTTGTGGACGCCGAATTCAAAGAATAGAGATTTGACTACCTAGCAACAACTTTAGACTCATAAACATTACTATTGCAATTAATGCATTTCCAAGACGGCGGCGAAGGAGCATGGTCTCTCTCGGGTATAGGATGAATCTTTTTTCACACTTCTTGCATGCTATGTAATACCACGAATTACTATTGGCAACCGAGCGTATGGTCGCCAATGTCACATACTTACCAACCTGCTTATTCGAAACAATCAACAACAACCACCGATATACAAAATTTTTTATAAACAAAAATGATAGAGTATCGCATATTCACATACCGTATCGATCGAATGTATAGAACTTAACTTTCGCCTAATATTAGTTCCCAAAAATTCATTGTTTAATGAATCTTTAGAATCTATACCCAAATCATCTTCGTTAGGAATGAGAATATACTTATCTTGAGGCAACCTAAACGGAAAAAATACAAAAACTAATTATACTAGAACGAACATATGTACAAATAAAACCGTACTGTAATTTCATTGAATAGATTCTTACTCAGATCGGAATTTCGCCACAAGAGGACACACTGGATCAAACAAAATCTGAGTTGTATTAAAAGCATTTGAGTCGCTCATCTCACCTAAAAAGTGTAAATAAATCGGTGTATCAGAAATACATATAATCTATGATAAAATTGTTCATAATCGTCGCTAAAATTAAAGCAGTATAAATCATTAAGTAATATACCTTGATAGTTTTTGATACATGCAAGCCTTATAATAACCACAACGACGGATGCGCAATTACGTTTAACGTAATCAGCAACTTCTTTTGCGTAATCAACCCAAAGAGTACACGGTAATTGTAGATCGCTGTTATAATTAATACATGATCATGAGTTAAATCATATAACTAAAATCAACACAAAATAAAATAAAATATTAAATTAGAACTAAGTATGTTACCTCTCATCTCTACGATAAATCTTAAGTCTAGAACGACGTTTTCCTTGAGCCATGACGTCCTCAACATGACCAACTCTTACGATTTGTCCGACCACGTCTTAGCGTTTGTAATAAAGTAACACGAAACAAAACAACCAAAACAATTAGCCAACAGCTATCTAATGCAAAAAAAGTGTTTAATACCGTGTCATAAAAAATGTTAAATAAACTATGCGTCTCAGTTTAGATATGGTACCGATCAAATAGCCATTGTCCAAATCAGTTGATAAAATATCTGGAAAATTTTTCATATATTTCTCCGGAACCACTTGAGGAAAATTCAAGCATACAGAGACAGTCGTAGTTGCATAGAACACTATCTTGAAAGGTGTTCATGTAGTTCGATACTCAGAATTATACTCAACAACCTTAAAAGTATTGATAAGCACCGATCTCCCCTCGATCAAATCTTTACGAAAAGATTTAGCGAAAAACCTTTCAACAGTTGCTTGTATCCTATCACCCTAAGTTCCAAAAGACAATAAAAAAAAAATTAACCAACAAATAATTGGCTAACCGGGATATCATAAATTATAGCACTAACCTCTTGATCAACAAAGACCATCTCAAGTGAACACCCCCCTCTGCCTTTGAATCCATCCCAAACTTTGAGGATATTAACTTTGATAACAAAGTTATCAGAGCCAGGACGTAAATCCCTAACGAAAACATTAGATGCTGATTTTCTTTTAAAAATCAACATAGCTTAGACCACACGATATTATAACAAAGAAGAAAAAATTGGGAGAAACAAGACGAAGAATGAGTCTCTATATATAGAGTAGGAGACATGATATATATATATATATATATATATATATATATATATATATATATATGTAAAATAGACTTAATTCAGATATGATTTACAGCTTTTTAGAATATACATATATCGCAACAAAGGGTAAAGCCGATAAAATCTTCTAGTTTTCTTTTATTTTAAAAATGTTAAAAACGATAAAATCTTCTAATTGTCTGTATAAAGCAAAAAAAATAATACTCAGATAATATCAATTTATATATACTTTAACGGAAAATTAACATAATGAAGTTAAATTCAATTTTGAAAATGGCAAACATTACAGTAACTGTATATACAAAGTAGAAAATATATTTAATAAATAAGTAATTAGCGATTTAGGCAAACAATTTAAGGAATTCTTTCTAAACGATGTGTTTAAGCTACCAAAAACGATAATACATACCAATAATTAAGCGTAACAATAAATTAGATAAAATGAAATCAATCAAAATATCTTTACAGTTTATCATTTGTATAATTTATCCTCTGTATATAATATTTACAATTCTTAAACAATATATTGCATGAAAGAATAATTATTAGTCTAAATATAAAATGAAAAATCTCTACAATATATTGTAACAATCGCGCACATACGCAGAGATATATAAGATAATTCATATGAGAAGAAAATGATAATAACAAACTAAAAAACTGCAATGTAGTTTTACACGATATAAAAAAATGTATAGGCTGGTATTCTAAGATTTATGTATTTGTGAAATGGAAATCAATATTGATCGGTTGACACCAATGCCTCCCGGAAACGTACCACTTCAGGAACAGCTGGTGCAACATTATCCGTGTGTAATTAGGAGCGGCTACAGCCATCCAATTACCTTATGATCACAAAAAAAAACAATCGAAATAATTAATAACTTAACAAACACTTCTAATTTTTATCTAGTTATATCTATATTCGAAAAAGTATCATGAATTTCAGCCTTAGAATACCTCGAATGGTATCAACTTTTGCAGACAGAACGATACATATTATCATATCATCATCACAATGCGTCAAACCATCGAGAAAATCTCGACCAAAATTTCCAACCAAACGACATGGTAGACGACATCCTCTAATAATTATAAAACAAAACAATCAGCGGAAAATTGGTTGTAAGTAAGTAGCTTTGAATTCTAAAATGTATGATAGTACACAATACCTCTGATTCTCCAATTCGATATATATCTCGTTCATCATGTAGCTTTCAAAAGGATATTGTGGATCAACGTAGTTTCCAACAGTCATAACATGTCCAATTAGATCTTAACGCAAAAAACATAAAAAGGCAAGTCAACAACATAGCGATTTGCAACTTACAAAACATAACATATGTCATATCACAAGAACATACGTAATACACACAGCTTACCCACACAACTGTTAACGTCGCAGGATCCATCTATTATATCCTCGAACTCGGTAAAAGAAAAGCAACGATATGAGTTATCCATCACAAATACACCGACCAACGTTTACAGTTTACAAAACACCAAAAGAATGAGAACAAAATCTATATATACACCGAATCATATCTCAAAATATGTATTTATTTTATTTTATTTTTATAAAATATAAGCAACGATAAGTTTACGGAAAAGCGAAATAATATTGTGTTATAATTAAACTTTATTATTATAACAAAATTGATGTATATAATTATTCTAATATCATTTATTATATATTGCTTTTATTAAAATAAGAAATAAGTATGCCACAATAAAGAAACTAAAACGAAAATATGATAAATAACTACTGTCTTCTGATAATCAACCAACGAACCCTAATGCATGGTATGCACTTCTAAACGAAAGATACACGACTCCACCAACAGTCCTAATATCATCAAAACTACGTGGACCCCTAACTATGTCCAATAAGAGCCTCAGATAATACTCTTCTCCGTATTCTGTTGGCGATTCGTCCACAACACACGCACCAGAATTTCTCTTTAGTCTTGGCCTCCATGTCTTATTTTTACGATCCCATACAAACATAGAAGGAATCTCCGAGTATAAAAGATTCCTCGCCTCTGGATAAGACTGATTACACCTAAAACAAGCAAGGAATTTAGGTTTTCTAGCAGGAACATGTCTATCTAAATTATTAGAAAACGCAATATTTTCCCCAGGGAGATGAAACGGTATAACTTGCCAATTAATACGTGGTCGCCTGTGAGCACCTAGACATGGACAATATAAAAACGATCATATATACAATAACAACAATCAATCGAATACCGTAAAGAAAACTAACGATTAGTGACGTCTCTAAAAACGTAATACAAAACTCATTTACCAAACCCTTCCATCGAAGAACTCGAATGCAAACAATTCTAACAATGCAGACTGGTAACTCGCGAAGTCGCGATAGACACATATATATACCTATACCGAAATATATGCATATATATAGAGATATAAGAATTATGTGGTTTACGTGTTGTTTTTTTTTCTAGGGTTCCTTAGAATGTTTTCCTTTATTTACATTTTATACATTTTAACGAATAGACTTTTTCACATCAATTATATAGCTTGTGTCTGATAAAAGAAACACCATGATTTTCATAGATGCTAAATGGAAAAAAAAACTAAAAGTTGTGACATGATCGGGGATATCTTCGAATCCTTTAAAATATTTATAAATTTGAGTTACTTGGAGTCCAAGAAATCAATAAAAACATGCGTTATTTATGCGACTATATAACTTATATTATTTTCTCCGCTTTCCGTATCTCAATATCAAACAACAATAATAATGAAATTAAAAAATTATATTTATTGATTAAAATAAAAATATCTGAAGAATAAAGAATAATTAAACTATAATTTGTATACATGGTAAATAGTTTTTCAAAATGATATATGCATATCTGAATAAGATGGATCATAACACTACTCAATGTAGACGTCCCACACTACCACGCATGTATGGCCTCTTACGCGGATATCTGCAGTGTTATAAAAAAGATTTGAGAGAGAGAAGGCGACCACGAGTTAATACAAAAAAGTCAAATACAATCATTAAGTATTAGAAACTCACTGTTCCAAAAACTCATCTAACTCAGGAATACGGGGATTGAGTTCGAACTTAGTAGGAGAAGTGGAAGATATAGTGATCTTGCCTATGTTTATAAAACACATATAGAGTCAAAACAATAAAACAGAACGAATATAGAGAATATAAATTAGTATACTAAAAATACCTCCAAAATAATCAATAACGGCCCATCTAAGCACACACACAATGATATCTTGATCACAGCGCCTCCAAGAGGCATAAAAGTTTTTAGCCATCTCACCGAACAATTCACAACTCAAATCAACACCACTAAATTAAAACATGTCACACATAATCAGATGGATAGAATAAATAAAACGACAATATACAGTTTAAAACATCCAGCAGACAGTATCGTTTATCCCTAAGATAGAACGTGACGGTTGAATATGAACCCCATATCTCGGAATCACATATATCATTACATGGACTGCCATATGAAGGAACATAATGCTCTCCAGTCAGTAAACCACACCACATCCCAGATCGACTTACATTTAAGACCCGACCTATCAAATATTCATAAACAACAAAAACTAAACCATGTTAACATCAACAACATAATAATAACGAAATTCAATAACTAAATCGAAAATAAACACACCAACAAAATAGTCATCATCATGGGCACGATCCAATATCCTTTGAAAATCAACAAAGTCAAAATAAGCATTTTCACATCTACGTGAAGTCTTGTTAATGATAGTTGAAGGTAGGAACAATATTTTGTATCTATGAGAAGTCGGTCTACAACTATCATCACAATCGATAACAGAAAAACGACTGATAATAATCCAATTACCAACATCTATGCGAGACGATGTGATACCGATCTCACCATCACTAATAGTGGCCTGAATTTTAACACTCTGTGAATAAAACTGTCAATTAGACACCAACAAAAATTTAGAATATTTTTGTGTAATAGTACAATAAATACATGTTCATCCGACAATATGAGCTCCATGGAAGAACGTTTCGAAATTAGCATATGCATCCACGTCTGTAAAACCTTAACAAAGATAATACAACCATCTTTGGAAGGACTCAAACGTGACACACACCTTCCAAAACACATTGAACCAAGAGAAACTGTATAAATACACACCGAATCCTGGTGTCCAGTTATACTAATATTCTTTTCGATG